TAGTTTGACATGCTGGTGCTCTGAACCAGCTCGTTAGTTAATATCTGACTAAGAGACAGCTTGCTTTCCCGATGAAGAAACGTTATCTGCAGCTTTTATGAGTACTATAGTATCTACAACTATTTTTTAATCTTATGAGTATTGGATATCATTATTTTCAATTTTTCTTCAACATGTATTTTAATGACTTCAGTATGAATGGAATGTCCCTCGGAGTTGTGGTCGTTGATGAGGAATTGGTCATTGAACGGTGTGGATGCTGTTTATTCCCATATTAGATTATTGTCTTGGGATATTCAGGTTTGATTTTTGTTTGCCAGTTTTACACTTTACAGTTTGCTTTTCCCACTAGGTTGCTTTACACTTTTTTCCTTTCTCATTTGTCATTTTTGTTTATATTTAGTAAGGATATGATCTGTGTGATCACCTGTCCAGAAGATAATTCAACGGCATGAAGAACATTTCTTTGACATGATGCACAGTGAAAGGTTTTCCACACATTTACATTTTCGTTTAAAAGAGCTTTAATTCCGTTATATACTCAGATCAAGGCCAATTTAGCATACATTTCGCTCTCAAAAATCACTGTGCAATAATAGATTTCAAAGAAATGTTTGACGTTTTCAATAATCTTTTTTCTTTTTGATGAAATGTAGTTATTTATTCTAAAAATCAATCGATGTCATACACAAAATGCATTTAAGTGGTATAAAGTACAGAAGCAGAGTAAAAATATGTATCTTAGAATATCACCATGTGTTACCCCATTGTAGCGCCTCTTGCCCATGTTTCTATCAATATAAAACATGATATCATACACCAAATATGCATATATGTTAAATTATGTGGTTTAAAATACAGAAAAATAGATAACATTCTCCTTAGAATACCACCTTGTGTAACCCCACTTTACTGCCTTTTGCCCCTGTTTATATCAATATAAAAGGTAGCATGTAACCTTCCTTGTAACATGTGTAAAAATGTCAAGAAAATCAGTAAAGTGGTTTTCCTGGAATCACAATGACAAGATTTATCCAAAAAACTTCCAAGATGGCCGCCTGAATGCAAGATGGCCACCGAAAGGTTAATTAGCTCTAGAACTTCTTACCATGTAATATGTGTGAAAATTTGAAGTAAATCCATTTTGTTTTCCTGAAATCGTGATGACAAGATTTATCTTTAAACTTCCAAGATGGCTGCCAGAATGCAAGATGGCCACCGAAAAAATAATGAGGTCTAGGACTTTTTACCATGTTACATGTGTGAACATTTGAAGTACATCTGTCATGTGGTTTTTGTGAAATCGCGATGACAATATTTATCTGAAAAAAATTCCAAGATGGCCACCAGAATGCAAGATGGCCGCCGCAAAGTTAATCAGCTCTAGAACTTCTTACCATGTAACATGTGTGAAAATTGAAGTAAATCCGTCTGATGGTTTACCTGGAATCGTGATGACAAGAAAGTGAGACTTCAGAATGCCACCTTGTCTAACCCCGTTTTGGTGCCTTTTGCCCCTGTTTACATCAATAGAAGAGGTGTTTTCTTTAAGAGGGAAGTCTGTTCTTTCAAACGGTACAATCATTTTATGTGGGAAAGTACCGGACAACAAAACCCCTTTTCTAGAGCCCTTTTGGAAATCAGATCGGGGACTAATTGTGTAGATGTTGTGTTTGTACTTCAAACATCATGCAACCTTGATGACTCGCTGGTGAATGGAGCCACGCAATTCATCATCAGTCTAGTCGGCGAAGTGTCTGAAGATGAAGATTCGACCATGACACTAATCACTATGATTATCGCTATATCTTGGAAAATTCTTATCCAATTGTGTTCATATTTTTAGGAAAGAAAGAAGAGACTGTGTTTGTATAGCTCCTGTTGTCAGTTAGTTGTAAAACATGATGTCTTGTACACCTGCTCAAAAGGCAGTCGTACATGGAAAATACGAAAAACCTGAATGGAAAATCACTATATCTTGGAAAATACTAATTCAATTATGCTCATTTTTCAGGAAAAGAAAGACGATATTGTGTGTGTATAGCTCCTGTTGTGAGTAAGTTGTAAAACATAATGCATTGGACACCTGCCCAAAAGGCAGTTGTTCTAGGAAAATACGAAAAACGCAGTCAGAGGTGACTGCCACAGCAATAAAACCTAACAACTTTCTAACCATAGTGTTTTTGGCACTTCTGGCACTTTTGGCACAAATTATCCTCATTCAATGTTTGGTGAATTTGTGGAGTTTCATCAAAATCACTTTAGGGACTTTACAGTTATGCTCAAAATGCCTTCTGAAGTCTGCCGGAACCAGGGCGTTTGACTGAGATTTGAAAGCATTTCGACCATAACTGTAAAGTCCCTGAAGTGATACGATTTTTATTATGGAATAAAATAGTGTATTATATATAACACCGTAATGTACACTCAAGAAATATATTTTATACATATACACGTTGTAGTTGTGTCACAGTGCAATGATATTCGATTCAAAAAGGAATTCCACGCAAAATGCACCTACTCCAAAATTCCAAGATAAAAATTAGAAAAATGGGATTTTTTGTAAAAGATAAAATAATGGGAGAAAATGACAATTGGAATTTCAAAATTCGAAAATTTGGAAAGAGCGAAGGAGGCTTAATTGTATTTTTGAAAAGAAAATGCGAATCTATGAAACCATAAAATGTAAATTTCATTTTCCAACTTTTAATCTTATTCTTAAGTTTTTGAAAGCCATCGTTATGATATGATAGATTGCCTTTCTATGGCCTTTCTATTCCCATTTCTATCATTCAATTTCTCAAACGTTGTGAAATGCAGTATTAAAAGTTTGCGATCATGTCAATGAGGATAGGCTCCAAGGGACGCAAATCTATATTTTCGAACAATGAAAATGTTCGAATGTCGTTATTTTCTGACATTAGACTGGTTATAAATTTATAATCACCAAATCCAAAAGATTCGTGCTAGTACATTGATTTCTTGTATGTTTTTATTTATATGTTATGTATTAAATATGTTTATCCGATGGATATTAATATGGGTATACCAACACAAGATAATTATCTTATACGCCACTAAAATCATATCCGATCCATATGACGTGATATCCGATCTTATTCCATGATGATGAAATTCCCTGCAATCTGATTGGTGCACGTGACTTAAATATATCTTGTATTTACACGCACATTCCACTAAGCGTTGGATACAGAATGAAAAAGACGTCAGCGTTGGGATACGGTCTATACAACCTTCTCGGGAAGAAAAATTTCTGTTTTTCACTCGAATCATTGAATAACTTATAGTATCCGACGGAACCTATTTTAAAAATGTTTTAAAAACAAATTTGAAAAAATTTGAATTTTTGGAAAAAAAATTGAAAAAATATTTTGAAAAAATTTGAAAAGTTCCAAGGTTATATGCTCAGTAAAAATAAGTTATATTTTTTCATGCAATCATTTTATAAAAATGAGCTGGTCGCAGAAAATAAAATGAAAAAATAGAATTAGGAAACAACTTTTAGGTCAAATCATTTGAAGTCCATACAAAAATAGCGACCATCGAATAAATATGATATCCTATGATTTTCTCGGCTATCATTTTTATCCATTATTGGATATCGCCGATCTTTACTCATTCGCTGCGCTCACTCGTAGAGATGAGCGATATCCACTCATGGATAAAAATGGTATCCCTCAAAAATCATAGGATATCCTCTTTTTATGTCCATTTCAACATCACACAGATATATAGTATTCAGATAACAAATATTAAAATAAAATAGAAAATCTGAACCATGGATCTTTATCCCCTTAGCGTAACTCTCGGTAATTCAAACCTGTTTTGATTATCACTCATCATATCAGAAAAAAAATTCTTGTTGATCATTTGACATATTTCTATGCTCTTCTTTCATAATTATGAATTTAATATTCCCGAACAGTTAGATCATATAACTTAACTCAACTGTAAAGAGACTCTAGGTGTTTTGCAACTCAATAAACAAAATGCTTTCCTATAGCTCAAAGTACCATTAATCATGTTATCCCATGGTTGCGAGGATATAGATCAAATATCACGGGAAGATGTATTTGATATGTAGACCAAGATATCGTGGTTTAGCAGAAATTCTCAAACCATCGAATATCACTTGTTATTTTTCGAATATCACTTCAACATTTTTCAAAATATTTAAAAAAAATGTTTCGTTTTTTTCACAATTTCTTCAATTTTTCTTTTAATTTTTTTCCAAAATTTATTTTCAACAATATTTTCATAATTTTACAACATTTTTTCGTTGATAATGATTTCACATGGGATAAACGGACAATCCTATGGGTTTTCATAAATATCAATTATATCCACTCATGAATATCAATACCTTTACTCATTCGCTGCGCTCACTTATGACGATATCAATAAATGAATGATATTTTTTTCAAAACAATAGGATATTCCTATGATATTTGAACCAATTTAGGCTTATATGACATGGGAACTCTAACTCTAGCATATCAGTTATAATCCCTAAAGTCAAAATCCCAGTTACCTTTCCTGAAGTGGTGGAAGATATCGTTGAACTGTGGTGCCCACTCATGGTATATGAACAAATTATTAAACTCCATAGTTTCCACGTCATATAAGTCTGATTTAGTTCAAATATCAAAGCATAACGTCGACTATAAAGTAATTTAATTCTATGAAAACTAGTAATACCGAAATCTACAATTACCGTCCACCATCTTCGATGCGAGGGTTACGGCCGTTACCTTTGCTTGATACTGACCGGTGAGTTTGGTAGACATGTTAACTCCTCTCTACTAATATAACGGAAACACAAATATGGTTTTTGTAAAGGTAGTTTATTAACAAGTATGATCAAATATAATTATTTAAACATAGTAAGGTGTAAAGAAATCTCTTACTTGTACCCCCATAAAATGGTCAATAACTACTGTATGGATCAAGAAAGATGATAATGATAATATATTATATTTGATCTTAGGCCTTAAATGGTCAAGGGTGGGTTGTGGTTTGTTGGTAGTATAGAGTAACAGTAATTGTTAGAAAATTATTTAATGGAATTGAACATGGAAATTCAATGTTAAATATTCGTTTTACCTATTAGTATGAAGTTATATTATTTCAATTTCTGGAAGAATGTATTCTAGGATTAGGGCTGTACAGTATACGTTCTACTTTAAACGATCTTGATTAGACATAAAACTCAATGTTACAAAATTAAACTCGTCAAAAGTCATTAGTTTTATATGTTCAACTTTTATACAGGATCTTATTGAGATTTAACATTTAAGTCCAGTGTTACTTATTAGTCACGTTATGCTTGTATTTTTCAATTTCTAAATGTTTAACGAAAAAATAAACTTCAATAGACTCATGGGGCACATGCCCTGTAGGTTCTGGGGTAGGCATCGGTGAGACAACATCCAGTATCCTTCTTGCATTCGGCCATACTTGTGGAAGAGGACTTGCAACACCTTCCACCAACACTAGAGCACACCTTACCAGAGCTAGTCCTGCACTCATCACCAGCATTTGACCACCTTTAACATAAGACACAGATAAAGTCAAGCATACTTTTTATCAAACAGAAATTACCATTGATAACGCTTTCTTTGTTTTCTTCCTCATAGAAAACAGTCGTTCTTGAATTTACTCCAAAATTGCATCGGTGCAAGTACACAGAGTAGAATATTGGAAGTGAGCAGTTATTCACAACGTAGAATTGCATCAATAAATATTAAGATTCAGGATGTTGTTAACGTTTATTTTTATGTTTCATTTCATAATGCGTCAATATATAACAAAGGGAATATAATTAAAGTGATGAATAGCCAAACATGTTCACCTAGCATTTGTTATAAAATAACATACTCTCCCCTCCATACGCTTGTAATCGAGAATGCAACTAACGGCTAGCAACTACCGGATTAACCTACTATTCTATGACAAGCTAATTTAGATATGAATAGAATAGTTGCAGGTACTATTCATATTTAAATGAGTTACCCATAATATAGTAGGTTTATTTGATAGCCAACAGGCGTTAGTTGCATTCGCGAATACAAGGTAAATTTTTCGGACGTTCCCTTTGAAACACTTTTCAAACCTGATTATGTGTGACGATTTAAAAACATTTTTGTCCTAAATTTGCAAACAATTTGTGCTAGAGTTATAGAAGTATCATTCCAACATTGGCAGGCAGATGTTACAAACAAGCAGTAATATAATATCCAATGAAAACTCCCGACTGTCACACGGAGGGAAGTGTATGATATGTTTTCCCCAGATAAAATACAATTATATGGAACAATCTAAACATCTTTCATATGATGAAGAATGAAAGTAGAAAACTTACTTTCTCTTTGTAGCTTCGATAGCCTGCTCGAGAGATTCCAGTTCAGATGCAAATCGAGTTTCCTCTGAAAAAATTGTCGACTATGCGTCAATTTGCCATTTACGATAAAAGGATCAACGTGGTTTGAGATTGTAGATAAGAAGACGAGTGATTTGAGAAATAAGTACGAGTAGAGGAAAGATATGGTTTGAAATAATAGAAGTAGAAGAGCAGTGTGATGGTGCGAGTCAAGGGATAATGTGGTATGAAATAGTAGAAGTAGAAGAGTAGTGTGATAGTACGAGTAGAGGAATAATGTGGTTTGGAATAGTAGAAGTAGAAGAGCAGTGTGGTAGTACGAGTAGAGGAATAATGTGGTTTGAAATAATAGAAGTAGAAGAGCAGTGTGATAGTGCCCGTAGAGGAATAATGTGGTTTGAAATAGTAGAAGTAGAAGAGCGGTGTGATAGTGCCCGTAGAGGAATAATGTGGTTTGAAATAGTAGAAGTAGAAGAGCGGTGTGATAGTACGAGTAGAGGAATAATGTGGTTTGAAATAGTAGAAGTAGAAGAGCAGTGTGATAGTACGAGTAGAGGAATAAAGTGATTTGAAATAGTAGAAGCAGAAGAGCGGTGTGACAGTACGAGTAGAGGAATAAAGTGATTTGAAATAGTAGAAGTAGAAGAGCGGTGTGATAGTACGAGGAGAGGAATAATGTGGTTTGAAATAGTAGAAGTAGAAGAGCAGTGTGGTAGTACGAGTAGAGGAATACTATGGTTACTAGTTACATGAATAGAAGGACAAATTGACTGTAATTGTGCGACTAGACAGATAATGCGATTTGAAATAGCAAATCAAGTAAAAGTGATGGTACGAGTAGAGAAATAATGTGGTTTGGGTTACGAGAGTAAAGAAGAAAGACAATATGTGGTACGAGTACAGGAATAGATCGGTTTGAAATATTGCAAAATAAAAGGTCAATTTGATAGTTAGAGTAAAAGGAAATGTATACGTAGTTTTGAGATGCGGGAATAAAAAATAAATAAAATAAAAACAATATGTGGTACGAATATAGGAATAAATCGGTTTGAAGTTGCAGAAGTAAAAGTTCAATTCGATACGTTTGAGTAAAAGGAAATATAGTTTGGGAGTTTGGCAAAATAGTATCCTAGCTTTATTTATTTTTGACACAATTCAAATAGTCAAATTGTTAAAATTTGGGTATTTACCTTGAAGAAGATCAGAATCGAATGTCTCTCCTCTTTTATCACCAAAGACAGCTGCAAAGACAGTTTTAAACAACTTGAATAAACATCAAAAGTAATGAACGAAACGCTTAAAATAATGGTTGTTTTGTTGTGAGACTTCAGTTGTGACACCATGAGTAAATGTTCCTCCATTTTTGGCGCTGTTGTAAAAAATAAAAATTATAAAAATAAATCCTGGAAACGTTACAATAGAGGACCACGGAAGGTATCGCAATAGATTTCAGACAGTCATATGTTGGCCTTTGGCTATTTTCTGAGAATTTAATCAGGTGCATATGTCAGACCAATGCATTAACTCCAGGAAAAGCACTCATACAGATGATAAAATAATTTGGACTTTGAGTTAGGGAATGTGCAAACAACCAACCAACATGTGTTTCTGTAATGTTGTCCTGATTTTCAAAACGCAACATATTGATTCATCAAACATTGAAAAACAGGGGTGGAAAGGGCTGAAAATCAGGACGAAACTTTAGAAAACATGTTGGTGGGGTATTTGCACATATACCCTGCTGCAAAGTCCAAGTTATCATCATCTCTATGAGAGCTTGTCCTGGAGTTAATGCATTGGGGTAACATATGCACCTGTTCAATATCTCAGAAAATAGCCCGAATCCAACTGTCTGAAATCTTTTGCGATACTTTCAGTCGCGTGAATTTATTGTAACGTCTCTAGGATTTCTTTTTACGTTTTTATTAACGAATCGAAAATCATGTTATAAAAGAAAAGAATCGATCGACTTAAAACAAAATATGGATGCAAACCATACGTTAGAGATATAACGAGGAAAAGAGCGCTATTTTATATTCTAAAAATATATAAGAAATCGTATTAGAACATTTCAGAAAGCTCACTTTCATCATATCCGGATGCACGAGTGTCCTCCTCAAGGAGACGCATCAACAGGTTTCTCGCGAACACTTCGTATTCATCACTCTCGGCTATATTTGAAGCACTTTTTCCATGGGTCAAACCCACGCATACCAACACACAAATTACGACTATGGTATTCATTGTACTACTGTCTGATGTTGTAATTGCTTAACTGGTGACTATTACCTGCGTGAGAAACAAAGCATATTCCAATATTAGTAAACTAGTACTACTGTAGTAAAACACAGATTTCACAAAAGTGGCATTAATTAAAATCTTAGAATTAGTAAAGACGAGCATTTACTATGAGCCATATTAAGTACGACATGATAATTCCACGATTTCCACTTATTCCATCCTTTAATATTCCATTGTTCTTTCGGAGCTATGATTATTTGTTTCTGAAAATATCATAAGATATTTACCATGTTGAAGTCTGAGTAAGACCTCATAATTAAGGCGTCACGTGTAACAAATGACGACAAGGAAACCTAGTCCAAGAGGGCTATCTTTAAAAATAGTCAACCGAAAATTTTCATTTTTGGCTATAGTATTCCCAAGATTACTTGTACTCTTATTACTTCATAATAATATTATCGGAGGGATATACACAATGCTGGACTACAATGAAGAACGTGAAAAATCATCACATTGACCATGATGGTGGGTAGGTAAAGGGTTTTCACCCATTAAATGAAATTCAAAATCGATATAATTTTTTTAAAACATCCGTTTTTATCTATTTATTATTTACATAAAAATAATTCATGTATCTGATGAATTGGAGAAGTTATATATAATATGACTGATATTTTTCAGTCTAAATAGCGCAGACTATTGTTTGCACATTGCGATCACGTCATGTTTTGCATCTGTTGTCAAAAAGTCAATCAGATTTGTGTTTTGCACATGTAAATTAACCCTTAATGATGGAATAAATGATAAAAAGTAAGATATTTTCATTTCGAAGTACAGAAAAATCACTCATGTAAGAGTTAGTATAAAGAGATTATCCTATATGAGGTTTCTCGAATCTTTGATTACTAAGAGTGATACATATGATCCTTCCCTTCTTTAAACCATCAAACAAATCGCCATTGTCTGCGTTTTTTCCATTGTCGTTTACAGGTATTATGCGAACATTACCAAAAATTTATGTATTTTCATGTACCCGTAACACGTCCAAGTATGGGATAAAAAGTTTCATACACTTTACTCATTTTTCTGGCATGACAGCATTGTTACTACGGCAAAAGTAGAATTTTGCGCTTTTTATTGTTGCAAAAGTTATGACGTCGTTCTGAATATGGTTCTATAATCAGTATATATACTATTTTAAGCGTTCGAATTCGTCAGTGAATTTCGAGAATACTTAAGAATGAAGTTGTTGATTTGAGACCGACAATGCCATCAGATTTTGGAAAATAATCGAGGGCCAGATGCATGGCGAGGCTGTAGCCGCTCAACTCCCCTACCAACTCTTACTATTTTCGTAACCTCCGAAATTTTACGTTGGAATGGCAACAGTATATTGTCCTGCAGATATACATATTTTGCTTTCTAAATTATCTGAAGTGCTAACCTTATTATATGAAAGGTATGTACATTTTTTCTGTGCAATAGAATGTTGAATTGAAGCTGTGCGCCGACAGTCGAAGGGCGTATTATTTTATCAGTCGCTTTTTTGTACGTTTTAGAATGTTTACTCTTTGGCAGTGATATCGATTCCATGTTAATTCTCTTGTTTTATCTTTCAAATTAGCAGTTGGGATATTTCCATCCAGATTTGAAAAAGATATAAAATTTTCCATACGGTATTTTTCTTTTTTAACCTGTGACTCTCACGCCCCGCGCCTTTCAAAACTTAACAAACAATTAAAATTTTATGTTTTGAAATAAATTGTTCGTATAAAACTCAAAGTAACATTGTTATTTCATAATATATTTTGAAAAGGAGAGTAAGTATATCTTTTAGTTTTTTAAAATCAATATAGCATATTTAAAACTCACCTTGCTTTCACGATCTCCTCCTTTGATACTGACATTGACTCAATAAATTGAAAAAAATTGATGCGTGTCTTACATGTAATTATACGAACCTGGTGACTTGGTCCGCATTCAAGATTGCATCCCATAGTTATCTCAGTGACTTGTTCCGCATTCATGGTTGCAACCCACAGTTTATCACATTGTTAATAACATCGTTATAATACATACCCGGTTATTACCTTTGAGCAATGGTCATACTGTATCATTATTTAACAGTAATTAGCGTTATACCGTAGTTGCGGTTATATTTTAACACAGCGTCACATCCCAATATCAATGGCTATTCTAAGATTATAACTGTTAAGCAACTTGACAATCCAGTTTTAACATTTGATCAATATGCAACTCATTTCCCGGTTTTGGTGCCATTTGCATTCGTTTGACTTCGTTTCTTAAACGAGAACTTTGTCTTTAATTTAACGAGACTCTGTCGCTTGGACGGGTTCACTGTATATAAACTTTGACGAGGATTCTCGGCGCACTTGGGATGCCTTTTTTACATTTTGTATGGCAATGGACTCGAGGATCTGATTTGAGAATGCCCCCATATTATGACTTTGTAGGTATGGCAATGGTCGGATTTTTCCACTTTCTGGTATGAGAAGGGTCATGGAAAATATGTTACCTCACACTTGTGGTATGGTATTGGTCTAATAAGTTACACATATCATAACTTTGAGGTTGTTTTGGATTTTTTCCCTCAAAGTTTGCCGTCTTCTTAGTTATATTCAAAATAGATCAGAGTCAAGCGATGGCGGTGATTGAAATTACGATGTAAAGATAGAACCGCAACGAAATATTTGTAGATTTCTTTGAAAAACTAAGCAACATACATCACATATCGAATTTTTCGAAACAGAAAAACATGTTTAAATATGAAGGCCTCGCAGGTCCAACTCCCCAGGTATATATATATATTTCTTTATTGCGACCAATTCTGATCATATACATATAGTTTAACATAAAAGGTTATAAAAGGTTGTAAAGAAAAAACATACAAAAATATAACAAAATATACAGTAGTTGTTTAGTGCAGGACGTTTAGAGAATTGAGAAATCTAGTTCTCAGTTGGTACATATGATACACTGTCCTGGCTATTATAATACAATCATCATATTCATTTGGGGCAAAAATAATTTCAATTACATTTAGGTCACTTCCGCCTAAGTAAGGTCGTATAGGATTTCTAGTTGTTTCCAGCACATCACAAAACTTAATAAAATGTAACAATGATTCATGCGAATTACACATTGGGCATACCCTATTCACATTTGGCTCGGTATGACGACCAACACCTTCACCAACCAGTAGTCTCACCATAAGTTTAACATATGAATATCATTTCAGGTTTGTATTTACATAGCTGGTACCAGAATATTGGAGTACGAGTAGTTACTACTTCTCTATAATGTTTGATTTTATTATATGTCATACATTGAAAACGCCATCTTTGCAGAGACTTTGTAAGAACAGAACTTTTCACTATTTTTTCCAGTGCCACTTGGATGGAAATGTGTTATTAGAAATATAGCTATCCATTCTTCCTATAAGATCATATTGCATTCCAAGTTGTATAATTTCCCTAATTGGTGATGAAACTGTTACAGCACATTTATCTACGAAGAAGCTATATAGTATAGCATACCATCCAAAGATACTTAACTTCTTACAAATACCAACACTAGTATTAAAGATGTGCCAGAAATACACGAGCTTCCTGATTGCAATAGTTTCGCTTATACCTGTCCAACCAAGTTGAGCAATCGCGGCACAATCAGTTGTGTTCTTTGGAAGAGATTGAATTGACTTGGCCGAATTGGCATGCACCTTTTCTAAAGTTTTAATATTTGATACATTATAATTTAATACCTCGACACCATATAGCATGGTAGGAATTGAAACAGTCCAATATAAATTAGAAGCAGGTAAGGGATTTACGCTACACTTTTCGGGGGTGACACAGTCTACAGTGGCATAGAAATTGCGCCTTGCCCTAGATGTTACATTGTCTGTGATAGGCTATATCCCGCTGTGAAATCAAAAGGTTGTACATCTTTAAAACTACTTCTAGTAAAGTGAACTGCTGCACATTTCCCTGGATGGATCTCAAATCTCCATCTATTTGCATAATTATAAAGAATGTGCAGCATTTCTTGCATGCTATGTCTGAACATTGATACCAGTATGGAGTCATCTGCGTACGATGGAACAACACAGTTTATCCCCCGTACCTGACATCCATGTCCAGAGCTCTCTAATTCTAATAACAAAGGGTTCATGAATCTTACATACAATTCCATAGAAAGGACCCCACCTTGGTGGACCCCTTGTTGAACATAAAATAAATTACTTAATATACCATTGACCTTAACACAGCAACGATATCCCTCCTACATATGTCTCATAGATAATTTTCCACAATTTTCCGTTGATACCCTGATTATATAACAAAAACATCAAGCCATTTGTAAAAACCGTATCAAATGCCTTTTTCACGTCAATTACCAAAACGTAGGCATCTGAGCCATTTTCAAGTTGATGGGCAACTGTTTCCCTAAGGACAAGGGAGGTGTCAATACAAGATGACCCTGACTGTGCTGCATATTGAAGTTTTGACCTATTAAAATGATCACAACATTTGCTACGGTTTAAAATCAACCTATCTAATATCTTACTATATGTACTCATTAGAGTTACTCCCCGGTGGTTATCTTTATCAAGAGCATCCTTATTACCACCTTTATACAGTGTTATCATAACTCCTACTTTTAAACTACTTGGTACATGTTCATACTTAAAAATAGCATTAAAAATCGCAGTTAAAAGATTAATAAGTGCCATGCCACCATATTTAAGATGCTCAGCTGATACACCGTCCATACCACTAGCACGTCTGTTATTCAATGACGTAATCGCTTTCAAGAGTTCTTCATTGTCAAAATTAACGTCAAAAGAGCCATCACTGTTGTTTTGGTATTCTTTTTCAAGAATTAGTAGCATTAGCATTGGTCTCGTGTAGGTATACAATTAATTAATATTTGAAACGCAACTATTATTCGAATTTATGATCGGACATAAGTATGATATGTATTTCAAGGTAATGCTGGAAACAACATCTTTGTGGAATGGTTCAGCACGCAATGCACTGAGTCCAAGGCTTGAATCCTTAATTCACAAGCAATCCAAGATATAGAAATGTCGTTGTCAGATAGAGGTCGTGTCACGCATCAAATTGAACACATTGAGGATAATAGCAAAGCTAGAATGAACATATCGATGGCAGTGGGGCTATTGTAGAAGCATGCATCTGCTAGTACCTAATGTGCCACTTAAATGTTTTAGCATATCAAAAATATTTTGCAGCCCGAGTGATGTCATCGATGATGCGAATTTTTTTTTTCTATGTCAATCTTTTCTTAATATGCTAAAACTATATGTTGATTGTCTAGCCAGGTTAAAAGGTAGAATATATATTATGAATAATTATTATTATGAATAAGATATTCTTGTACCATTGGTTTCTATGAGAACTAAAATTTTGAAAAGCATTTTTCTCTGAACCTTTTTCATGAATTGGTTAGTTCATTTCTTGCTTATTTATGAACCGATTTTCTTAATTTCTTCGACAAAAACATGTGAGGATGAATGCTACATGCATTGGTATGAATTGTCCCTTATTAAAAGATACATGTAACCTCTTAAAGCTCGTTTTAAAGAAATTCATGATTTTTCGAACAAAAAGTCCTTCATAAACCACCTTTTGAAATTAAAATAAAAAGTTTCACATATAACACTTTGATAAGATTGGGTAAGACTACAATATAAGCCAAAGTGGTTTAAACTTTATATGGGGGGGGGGGTTGGCTTTAAACAACTAAAATGTTCATGATTAATCACAATATGTACAACAATGGCATCCCATAGTACGCCATCATTCATGAAATTAAGTGACGATTGCAAGCTTTTCACATTCAAGAGAATGACAGTCTGGCCCAAACAAATGCCAGTATAGTTACATCTATTTATTCAGTTTTATCCAGCTATTGAGAAACTACCTGCTACTTAATACTGTGAAAGTTGATACTGTAAAATATAAAATAATACTTTATTATCCATTTGTGGTGAAAATGGTAAAAGAGTATGTACGCGAAGAAACAAATGGTAGCCGCATCCACCACTTCATGCGTCCTCGTTGAACTAAACACGCCTGGAAACATTAAACGTAAACAAACCATCAAGTTATATAATTGAGGCTTATCTCTAAGGCATTTTTGTAATAAACCCATCCCATAAATGATAATGGTCATGCAGCTGTCTTGTACACAACAATAAAAACATGGTGGAATATTTTGACCTGAAGCTGAAAAAGATTGATACTACAAGCTCATGTTATTTTGCCTTATGTCACTGGCGGATCTGGGGGGGGCTGCCCCCCCCCCCCCTTGGGTGGGCCCAGAAAAAAATTGGGCCCTCAAAAGACTTTGGGCCAAAAAGGCCTTAAGGCCCCAAAAAAGTTTTTTTCTCTGCCCTGAAATTTGCCCCCCCCTTGTTGGTTCCCAGATCCGCCCCTGTATGTGACTATTATTGTTAATTTATATCGGCAAAGAACTACACAATAGCACGTTGCAATTATCACAATTTATTGTACAGTATTAAAACACAAATAACCTACAAATAAACATGTTTGGCATAGGGAATACACTGACATCCACCACGACATAAGCTACACAAAAATCGTTTGCGAGGTGGAGACAATATAATTTCTCCTCGTGATAGGCTAAAGTATACACTAAAAGTTATATAATGAATATATATGACAAAATGAACAATACAAGTATAAAAAGGTTAACGTATACTCCACAACTTATATTATACTACATATGGAGAACCTATATATACTATAAAGAGAACTTATATACTATAAGGAATATGTATACAATAAAACATCACCTCTCAAACTACAGGGTGTCCGGAAAGTAAAGATACAAATGCTCCCATTTTAAGAGATTAGGATCTTTTGTAATGAAACTGCTAAAGATTATAGAGAAGATTATTACATATCTACCAACTTTAATCACATATAGTCTTAACGTGTTCAAGTTACGGTTGTTATGGTTACGGCTGTGCGAGGTATGCGGAGCAGTTCCAGAAGATCGTTAAAATGACAAAAATTGCTAAAATACAACCATCTGAAACAATGTTTTTTGTTTTCTATTTTCTATCAATGTTTTGCTTTGTTTGTTGTTTGCATTATTACTGCTACAGTTTTTTTAATATAATGATGTCATTGTTACATATCAGAAATATTTTATGTCACTAAACAGTATAATCAAAGAAATATCATACAAGTGCTTAGAAAAAAACACTCTCTGGATTGTTGGAAAGTCAATATTGCATCTCCATAATACACCGATTCACAAAGCAAAGAAAACAATTCTTAAAATGGATTGTCTTGACATTAAACCTTTCTATACAATGCCCCATATTCACCTGATAGAGCTTTTTTTACTTCTACCTTATCGACCATCTGATAGCAATATTTGTAAGAAGTTCAACATACAAAATGAGTCTCAGCTGGAAGTCAATGTTATCAGCAATTTGAGAGACAGACAGCAATGATTTTGTCAAGTCTTTGAATCGCCGGTCAAGATGCACCAAAAATGTTAAGATAATGCCAGGGGAAAATATTGAATATTCAATGATAGTAGTTATATGAAGAGATCAAATAATGGTATGTACTAATCCTTATGCTGTTGTAGTACATAATTTGATGTAATATAGGAATAGATGGTAGAATGCCAAGATGTTATGAGCAGGAAAGAGATTTGTAAAACACATTTATACTTCCCGCCCGCTCTATCGGGGAAATAATAAACTGACAAGTATAATTTGGTGTGTCAAGAGCCATCCTGTGGCCATCTATTTTGATTTATTATTTTTACATAAAAACATTACATAATCAATTTCCTAACATTACATAATATTACACAAATTAACAATAGTATAAATTCGTTTACATTGTCTTACATAATTGTATAAAGTATTACATAACCTTACATAATGTTTGAAATGGACGCTAAAAAGCCACTGGGCACTAATAACATGAGTTATCATGTTTGTGTGGCCAAAGACCATGAAAAACACATGAACATTAATTTTTAATTGTGACGTTGCTCCACTTACCCTCGACTCCCGTTGCCATAACGACCATAACTTTTTCATTTTAAAACCAAAAGTCATGACCGTTGCAGGATATATTGCTATAATGTCATTCTACATTCTGGAGCAATTTCATCTTATAACAGATACATCTCTTAAAATGAGAGCATTTGTATCTTTACTTTCCGGACACCCTGTATATGAAATTATGTCAAAAATCCTTGGAGTAAGCCCAAAAAATAAAATGCCTTATAGGTGTTTGCATTCCCCGATATTTTACAATAAATTCGTAACAATGGCAGACGATTTTTCAAATCCAACTTGGATTTAACATAGAGACTAAAAATGACAACCTTAAAATCGACTGTAACACGCACGATACGCATATGTATGCTACAAATGATTAAAGTCGTACTACACTGAATATTTTATATATGATATTAGTATAGATAAAAACGTTTTACAAGCTAACAATATTACATCTGATTACCATATTCACTTGGTACATCCATGGCTTTTAAGATTGCAAAATGTTTTTGATTTCCGTGGCGAGTTCTCCGGGCAACAAGTAATCAGTTTAACTTTTACTTCTTTATTGATTGATATAAATGTATGGCTTTTTGTATTTGAGAATATGAACAAGTAACGGAAACTCATCCATGATTTCCGATTTGATTTATGAGGCTATTGACATGCACGCTGAGTTGATCGTTAATTAAAGTGAAATATAAAGACAGGCTCTGGCACAAGATCATCAGCATTCTTGGATATTACAACAAGGTTATAAAAGACTTAATTCATAATCCAAAGACAGTAAAACTAAATGAAAATTGGATACAAAAATATCATTCTAAAGATTTATTAATTAGAGGTAACTACCTGGGGATATCCATAGATCAAAGAGGACAAAAGCATCACTGAAAGCTACGTCCTTGGAAAGTAAACTTATAATCTGCTGAAGTCAACGGACGTTTTTATTGTCAACAACGACGAATTAAAGAACTGAGTAAGCTTTATAAAATAATATTATTTATCATATATGGAACGTATTATAAACATTTTTCGATCCGCTATAACATACAACATAAAATGCTCTTCAATATGAAAAGAATTCGGAAAACAAACTATAAGTTGATTTAACCGCCATAGATATGGATATTGGCAGTGCTTAGGAAACATCGAATAAACGTCGACATTTCAACGAGGATAGTACTCAGATTGAATATAGACTAAAAAACAGTTTCGTGTATATGAAACAAGGAAAACCTTGCTGGAATAAACTGGTGGGAATACAGCGATGATATAAATGGTGAAAGAAAGGAAGGGTTAAATTTAAGTTAAAGTGTACTTCATACTTGGTGATAACTTGAAAATGACGTCGAAACCAGTCAATACCACGTTAGGTACAAATATTAGCGTGTTATACGAGATCTATACGAATGTTGAGTTAAACGTGTATGGAATAGTATTACCTATCGTATGTATTGTTGGGATAATAACAAATATACTCAACCTGCTTGTTTTAACAAGACCTTTGATGCGAAACGCGACAAACAAGTTTCTTTTAGGACTGGCTGCGTGTGATTTAGGCGCTCTGACAATTCTGCTCATATATTACATATACTTTTATTCATTGAGAAATGGTGCCAAATTGAATGATGGCGATGATTGGTTGACGATTCCGTTTCCATGGAGACTATTTTATCACGTACATAGTATACCCGCCAATATATTTGTCACCGCCTCAAATACGCTTGTCCTCGGAGTAACTGTATTTCGCTTCTGTGCAGTAAAGTTTCCAGTGAAGGCTAAAAAATTGTGTACCAATCACCGGGCCAAGTTATACATAGTCGCTACAATCATATGGTCGATGATTTTAAACAGTCCAGAATTTTTTCAAAAACATTTGGTATGTGCCAAATCTGAAAATATAATAAACGGCACCATATATTCTACTTCAATTTGGAAAATGAATTCAACTTCGATATACTACAATAGGTTATTTCAAACGATATATTACCCGACAAAAACTGCATTAAACATTCTGATTCCCTGGCTAGCCTCTCTGATTTTGACTATCATCTTGCTCCATTCATTATGGGCAAACGTTCCTGATAAAAACGCAAAGTTACGAAGACGTTCTGAGCAGCTAATCCAATCCAAGAATACGAAGATGTCAAAAATGCGCAAGAATTATTATATTACCTGGACGCTAATTGCTGTCAACTTTTGTTTTTTGATTTGTCAAGGACCATCTGCAGTTTTCTTTATGCTTATCATCTCCTTGGATAGAGAAGAACTATACAAAGGGGAATATTCTATAGCGAGAGTGTTTATTGATATGTTTCTTGTCATGAACCTCGCTTTGAATTTCTTTCTGTACGCCATGGCCAGTTATTCCTTTCGCCAAGAACTTTTCCGTTTATTCTACACCTCCCCGTGCTTCAAACGACATGGAATTCTGATACAGAGCGAATCGAGGTATAATGGGTCGAAATGGAGAATCCAGAGTGTTCAAAATGTCAAATAGATGGGACTAAAGGCAAGGAAGAAGGATCCTTGCCAATTCTGTAGCAAAACTCACGTTGCTTCGAACGCTTTGAACCAACTACCGCTGAAGAATCGGAGAGGAATACTTTACATTATAATGCCAGTCCTCCAAGCTCTGGAGTACTACTGAGATTTTACATCAGACACAGAGCTAATATATTTTACCACAAATATTTGTATGTTATCCTTCAATAGTTAAGATAAGTGGAATAAGCGTGGCAAATTGAAACAAAAAAGTAAAAGTAAAAATATGAATTGTGTTTGTTGAGAAACATTATACGATAGACACCTTTTCAAATAACTTGGAATCCCAATACCCTAACATTATAACCACATTGTAGATTAACCACATTGTAGATGGATTTACTTATCATAACCCCATCAGACGAAGTTCGGAGGGATATATGAAATAGATATTTTATTTTACGATTTTTGCTAAAACTGAAAAAGTAGTCGACCAATATTGTAAAAATGGCAGTCATGGCTGCTCGATGGGATATGCTACGCGTTGTTGTTATCTAGTTAAATTACTTGATTTATGCCCAGATAGAATGACCATTTTATATGATTTCCTTATAGTATGAACAGGTAATTATATAAAAGTGAGTTCGAGACGCGAGAGCTCCGTGCATTTATTTATTTGTGATCGATCATTGTCTGAGCTTTCAGTTGTAGAGGTAATAACCATGCTAGCTTGAAGCAGAACTAATGGTTGGTTCTCTGTTCATGCTTATATGTAGCTTTATGTGTAATTTCGGGAATAAAAATAAACTTTTTAAAAAATATATTAGGTTAAGTGATTATATAATATATAATAATATCAATTGACCCACTGACATGTTTGATGGAGATTTTGCATCAAGGTCATCGGAAGTGTGACGTCATATCGACGTTGCTCGCCATATTGTAACTCAAGAAAGATTGTAAAATATGCTCCACAACAAATTCTGACAAACCTAATAATTGACCAACTCGCTTCATTTAAACATACTCATGCCTTCCAGTCAAAATTCAAATAATTTTGATTGTGTAATACCACTTTACTCCCAGTCCTCTATTGTACTGTGTTCGTCTTTTTACTGTATTTTAATGATTTCTTACCAAATATAGGATGAATTTTGATGTTAACAGCAATATTTGATTTCAAAATATAAAAAAATAATCTAATCTCCAATTCTGCTCAATTACGTTGGCAACTTCTGGTCAATGTTTTCGTTAATTTTCCAATCAGTTTTTATTTTCGTAAGCTGAACAGAAATGTATTACCTGTTAAAATTAATACACTAAAGTGTATACTGATGAACTCTCAAAAATAAAACCTCCAATAATAATTTTTTAAATTCACAATTTCATGTGACCGTTTCTAACAAGTCGCCTCTTTATTTCTTTTAATATCAAAATCGGAGTTTAAAACCTGCTTTCTTTACAAGCTATGCTTATGTACATTGTAAGTATCAAATAACATGAAAAACGTCAAACCCTACATCCTACATTGATTTGATGTGAAATGGTGATCATTGACATGGTTTTTGTGCTGTTACTGTGGATCTTTTAATTTTATTTTACCAGTTCTCTTTTTTCTTATAGTCAAACTTGATGCCCGATCTCTGTCGATGTGACGTCACTCATCAATTATACACGTGCACAGTACAATAAAGAAAGCAATATGGCGACTTACATAATTCTGAGCCATAATGGAGGTCTCCAAATTGAAATGAATATGTTTGTTTATGCATTACATCTATCGTAGACATATGTAACCCAACCGATCTTTTTAATAATTTACTTATTTAATGAATTATACTTATTTTGTCAGCTTACTTCCCCTTTAAACTTCCTATTGTTACCTTAACAACCCGTTCCCTCATTCATTGGCCGAAACAACCTTTTTGGGTTTGTTGATCATGAATCGACCGGGCATTCTTCCGTTTTCATATAAAGAGTTATTCAAATAGCTAACTCATCAATAAAAATGCATACAAATGAAATGTGATCGAATAACTAACAAAAAGTTCTTTTCTTGGCGTATCAGTTTAAATGTCGTGGGTATAAAATTTAAGTATTTTACTATAGAAAACTAGGTATTGTTAAAAAATAAAAGTGGTGAATTGATGCAAATTTGTTTCAATTCTCTTAAAATCAAATTATAAAGCAATAACAGCTTTTCCTTACTCTCGATATAGGTCGGAGATCAATGTATTCAATGTCTCAAGAAATGAAGAAAAATACACAAGAGTAATTAACAAGACAGTGACATGCTTAGAGTGCTATTAGTCGGTATAACAGATAATATTAGCTTTGCCTACTGGGAGAGATTGATCAAGAAAGAAATGGCAAAATGAATTGAGATGAAGGTTCACACATGTTACTACATGGGCAACTCCAACTGGAGTGTCACCGCCCAACATAATCTATTATAAAACGAAGGTGTGCAGTCTTTATTGCAAATCATATTGTGTTCTGAGAAAGTAAGTCAACGCGTTGATTTTATAATCCGGGTTTTATTTCATGTTTTCCGGACTGTTTTTGTGCCATTTTTCTTTTCTACCTTTTTCAGGTTTTATAACTTTTCCGTGCTAGTATAGACAAAAGTCCGAGAAACCCTGGATACAGTCCCGGTGTAAAAGGGTAGGAGTTCCTATCAAATTATGGTCCTACTTTCCATTGATTTATATGGTGACATAAATACAACTCTTTCCCTTATTATCTTATACACAATCAGGGCCAGTAAGGGCCGTTAAGAAAGGGGACCATAATCCCTGGGGGACCATCATTTCTTTCACACCGGGGAGTGAGTAGAACGCATAAATTGGCGTTCCGTAATAATACGTTAATGTACAAATGATTACTCATTTATGTAGCCCTTGTATACCTTGAACTTCATCTTGGCAAACATAATACTTTCAAGTGCTCTATTATTGGAAACATTTAATCTGAATATTGCAAATCTCATTCAGAATAACGAAATGGGAGACTGGTGAATTATAGCCTTAATCCTTGTAATACTGTATACAAAACTAATTGCTCTAATAAATAACAACAACAGCCTGATGGCGATCCTACTCCAACAACCTTGACGAAAATACAAACAGTAAACCATACAATGTAGACCATAAATGAGTAATGTGTTCCATACGATCATGGTCGTATATTAGTTTCATACCGACAGCAATAAATTAAACTGATATGAATTAAATGAAACATATTGTGTTAGCCGTCTTATGCATGTCTTCTCTCAATTTGTTGCACTTCCATAGTTACAAGATGGCGGTCACAAATGAAACAAATGGACTTGACCTCTTTTCTCTTTTCTGACGTAAAAAGTGAGTAATACAATTTTGGCATTGGGTCATACCAAGAACTAATAAAGGAGACCAGATAAAAGATGATGCATTCTCTAACGCAGGAGTTCAAAATTTAGCAACAGAGGGGATAATGTCTGAAGCCCTGCGTTCGAAGAACGATATGATAGGCCCAAAGGGTAATCTAAATACCTGGTTTAGAGAATTCTCCCTCGAGGCTTCGCGACAATGTGATATGACTGTGAAAATAGTTTAAGAAAACCAAACCAATAAGGAATTACATTATCTAATTAACAAGACTCATGGCTGTCATTTATTTTCTGGGTAAAGCTAATGAGAATCAGCTAAAAGGCCCTTTAAATACTCCAATCGATTAATTAAGGACTTACAATCGATACATATATTGTTTGCAGGGAGCAATTTTCCAACAACAATTTACAGGGAATTGTCAAATAATTTGTCTGTTAATTGGTTTATTCTTCGTTTAAGTATGACAAATGAGGTATTACAAAATCTAATCATCACTTAGAAGTGATACAATCCAAGATTTGCATGTCACGTACAGTACTGTAATCATTAAAGGTTGGTTGGTTTTGGCGAGGTCATGTAATGATTCGAGGGTTGTGATTAATGTTTCGACAAACATATCTTCTTGAAATTATCAAATGAATAAGAATATATAAATAAATATCTCGACACAATCTAGTCTAGACTATTTTTTTCACGTTTATAGCTCGGAGGCAAACAACTGATTATAAGTGTTTTGTCACAACTAACGTCACTCGTGTCGCAAAGATCGGTCATTGTCGTATAAAAGGCCATTTGCATGACGGCGATCCTTTACTTTAGCAGAGAAAAGGTGGCGAGGTCAAATATTAGGAAACTACACGGTTCTATACTGTTATCACTTCACTTAACTAGCAGTCTGTAATTTCGCTTCTACACAACCTCAAACTACTTACGATGCTATTGAAGTATAACATCAAATTATTCGGCACAGACTATTTTCCTAGTAATAGAATAAAAGATTGAATAATGATTCTCACAAGTGCGAAACTTGTAATATGCCAAACTTGATTTACTTCTACATGATTACTACATGATTTTCAAGCTTCAAAGATGTGATTTGCAATAAATATGCATTGAAGCACACTTGAGACCATTTACATACATTGATAAATGACAACTCTACAGAGGAGCAACCCCTAGGAACAAAGTTATCATAAATCTGCGTATGTCACAATATAATACAATCTGCTGTAAAACCTCTCAATTTGTACATAAAAAGGCATTGGTGAAATCTCAAAATTCCTGCCAATTCAAGATTCAAACAGATTCAATAGGAATTTCCAATAGAAATCCAATGGTACAGTTCCAGGCAGATTTTGAGATAACATGAAAGTAAATCTTTAATACACACCTTATTGGGTTGTTTTGGTTTATATCCCATATCCAAACTGACCGTACATAACTGCTCGTATACACATTAGAGTTTTCTTTAAAACATTTTTTTCAATTGTTTTATCAATTCAAGTCAATTTCAATTCAAGTCTTACCAGTTTTTTTCAATTTTTTCAAGATATTGGGATTATCCCTTGGCCAATATAATATATCTACCCTCGGGACCTACGGCCCTCGCGCAGATATTTTATATTGGCCTCAGGATAATCTCAATATCCTGAACCTCATATAGGATAATCTATATATCTTACCAACTTATCTCCCTAAAACTCTACATGGCATAGGATAAAGGACCTTGTGAGATCAAATGTGAAGTTCCGTTACAAGATAATCGGATGCAGAGACATTCAGAGTACGAGTAAAACTGGAAACGAGAAATAAACTTACAACTGACAAATTGGTGTGCAATGCAGTTTTCAATTTCAATTACCCACTTGGGATTTCTGCCATGCTTAGTTTAATAACTGCAAATATGATATATACGTTCATTG